GATTGCAGCAATGCGCAACGGGTAAGCTAGTTATAAATAAAGATTCAAACATTTAGAAATATATATATAATTCCAGACTGTAATAAACCAACAACCAGTTGCTCAACTTTCCCAGCAACATTTAAAAGTTTGGTGGCATCATCTGTTATCGTATTTTATTAAAAAACTTATATTTTTAATGATTATAAAATGGCAAAAATCTTAATTTTGAGGGTAAGGATGAGTTTTATAAAAAATTGTAAATACAAATAACAAGTAAAACATTAAGTCCGACCCTACTGAAGATACACACGACCTCCATTATCTCCCCACCCCTCCAACCACCAAAATTTAATAGCGTTAATCCCCCTAATAAACAAATCTTCAGAAATTTTTGACAAAAAGCACTGGAATTATTAAGCTTCAAACAGGGTGAACAAAATTGTGACCCCACAAATTAACATCCATACATACAGAAATTACCCTAGAACTTTTTTGCATTTCTTGATGTTTCAAGGTGTCTAAGTCCAAAATTAGGACACCTTGAAACATCAAGAAATGCAAAAATGTTCTAGGGTAATATGTAAAAAACCTTTTTACAAGTTTTTTTTGGGGTCATTTTTTGACTGATTGCATACTTTCCCTCTGTTATATATAACCAGGGGTGCACAACCTGCAGCCCGCGGGCCACATACGGCCCCTTATCAATGTTTATGCGGCCTGCGGATGGTACAGGCCAAATCCCTTGTTTTGAAGTTTCTAAGTGTAGAACTTTTTCCCTTTCACAAAGTCATTAGCACCCAACTGTTTTATGACTTTCCCTGAGGTGAGAAATGGGGGGTTGTTCTATAAATAAGTCTATTTCTAGCTAACACTTTCCAGTTTAGATATGGAATATTTTAAGTTTAATACATAGTATTATAGCGATTTTTCGAAGAATCAAATAGAATGAAATGATGTTAGAACGTCATTTCCAATGTTATTAGGAAGTTTCTATTTTGGCGGGAAATTTTCAATTTTATGCTTCGGAAAACTTGCTTATTTGTCTAAATAGCGTCAAATAACAAAAATAAGTGAAAATAGCGCTGAAAAACCATGAAAATAACAATTTTTGGTACTTGTGAATCTTTATCCCAGATGGTGGCGCTGCCCTGGCGACCAACATCTCAACTAGTACCTGTATCCTCTCGAAACAAATTAACTCGGCTGGCTAACCTACCAACACACGTGTTATCAACTTAGTTTTGTTATTTCAACGTTGTTAATTAAAACNGTTTTCGCTTATGAATTTAAACAAGTGCAAAACACGGAACAGGTTAACCAACGAGAATTTGGAAAATCTGCTGGTGGTTTCAACATCTGCCACTACACCAGACATCAAGAAGATTGCCGCCAGCAACCAATCTCAGCCATCACATTAATCGCTTGGAGGTCTGGCCCCCAGTCAGTAAACTTAATCCTAATTTGGCCCTTCTTCACAAAAGGTTGTGCATCCCTGATATAACAGTTGAAAAAGTAAAAAAAAAATTAATTTGTATAGGCTTTAAAATAACCTTTCGCATATCAAGTGTAACCAAATACTATAGTATTAGTAGTGTTGTCAATAAGAGATCAGAGATAACTGACTCTGGTAATCTCCAAAAATTTTCTACAATTTGTAATAAGAAAGCTACCCCAATTAATTTACTACGTAAGTAATTAATTTAAAATATTTATTAATTATCTACTTCTTGCCAACTTCGGAAGCACCTGTAATTAAGTAATAGTATATAGCAACCAAATATGCCGGTATTACCAAATGATTTGCCAGATTATTTATTAGGCTATATTAAGGCTAATTAATTATCAGATATGAGCGAGTTGTTATTGTTAGACCCTTCAATGTACTTAATTTTAATAGAATACATTATGCTCATTTGTCTACTAGCTACTGCTTAGCACCAGCTGTTTCAAATGCAGGTTTTTTCACATAACACACTTAGTTCCGCGATGTCAAGTTTAGTTTCCACAGTAATTGAGCAACACTTTTTGCATTTATCTCCACTGCCAGGTTTATTACATTTTGGATGCATTTTTGAAGCACTAATTGTAGAAATTTATAAAAATTGCAAATAGTGAAAAGCACAATACTCTGACATTACCAACTTTGATGCCACCTCACGAGTGGCAATGGAATATTAGAACTCATATGAAAATGAAAAAAAAAAACGACATGCAATAGAAATGAATTCACATTAATTCCAAAATGCATGGCAATAGTTGTTAAGAGAAAGCTTCTTGACATCCAAGATGGATTTCACAAAGGATGTAGAACCAGCAATCAAATTACAAACCTGTGATGAATTATGGAAAAGACACGCAAACATTAAAAGTCTGTGTATGTTCTTCATCGATTACTGGAAAGCATTCAACTCTGTTCAATATGACAAGCTGTGGAACCATCTAAAACAAATGGGTATAGCAGCACATTCCAAAGAACTGATACATTCACGGTATGAAAATGAAGAAGCCACAGTCAGAACAGTATTTGTTAAAGTTTGGAAAAAGACATTTGACAGGGCTGCATTCTATCACCAGCCCTGTTCATCAATCTGTTTACTGAAATGATCATGAGATGTTGCAATCTAGATGAATCACAGATTGGCATGAAAATTGATGGAAGAAACACTAACAACTTTAGATATGCCGACAACACAACCTTGCTTGCAGAAAGTGAAAAGGACCTGGAATATATAATCCAAGGAGTCTAGTGACAACAGCAAGCAATGATACAATTCACATAATATCAATAAACCAATAACAAAGACACTGAATTAGTCCAAGATTTCATATTTCAGGGGCAGGATCGATCACAATGGTGAATCTGTACATCAAACAAAATGGTGAATTACACTTGGCCACAGCACAATGAAAGGAATGACAAAAATCTGTACTGAAAGCCCAGAACGACGATCAATGCAACTGTCTTTCCGATGTTCACATACGCACACGAAAGTTGGACAATCATGAAAGATGACAGGAGAATTGATGCTTCTGAGCACCGGCATCCAATACAAACGTCATGCATACCTCGGACAGACAAGGTTACAAATTGTAAGGAACCAAGTCCGAGCACTATTTTTATTTACTTTTATTTTTTTTTTCCGAAGTGTTACTCCTCTAAAGCCAAATTCAAAATCTATGAAAGAAAGCAACCAATTCTAATATTAACCCTAGGGTCCCTGTTCGGGCGCCAGTTGTAAAGTACTATTTTATTTTTCCGACTTTTCCAATGATTATCAACACAACTGTGTGCCGGAAATAGCCGTTCCCTAATGGGTACTTTACACGGATTCGCGTTAGTGTGCCAGGCCTGGACTTTTAGCGTGCACCGAAATTAAATGACGACAAAGTTTGTCAATAATAAAATCAAATATTTAATTAATTTCTAGTAATAAACTATTTACAAAATTTAGTAAAAATCAAGTAACAATTTATTCAATGAAAATCAATAAGAATCAACGCGACAAAACTCAAATCAATCTAGTTTCTAAGTTAAATCTATTCCCCTTTGGAATTCGACAAAATTCAAAGACTTTAACTTATAAAAAAAATTCATATGAATTAAAGATCCTAATCGTCACCGCAATATACTAGGAACCTATTTCCTCAACTCTCAAGACTTTCTCTATTCGTCGATCCACAAATCGAATAACTTCAAAATCGCCTTGGAACTATTTGATCCTATCGGACACCTCTCTCGTTGACTGCTACGAAGCTCACCAAGCTCGTTGCTAACTGGAGTTCACCTCATCCGTCTTCACTTGACGTTCAGTCTTTATACTGTGAGGTGACGTCACAATTCTGACTGCGATCACTCCCCTCATTTACATACTTATTTGCTAACAATAAACTTTTCTATTTGTCTGGCAGCCTATTTTCTGACAATACTTGCTAACCTTTCACATTATTCTTTTGACAATTTTGGGGATGTTTTTTTTTTTATTCTTTAAGGTTTAGCGAGTCCCTAAGTTATGCTTGTGGGGCCTCCCCCCTTTTCTCGGTGCGGACTTACTTTTTTCCGCTTGGGAGCGCACGTGTGCGCGAGTTTTTTCTACGGCACTTTTCTCTCGGTGAGTTGGTTTCTCTTCTATTTTTAAGTTTCTAAGGTGAATGGTGAGGAAACCTTCGTCCTAACAAAACATAAGCCCCAAACAAAAATAGAATAATAAGCAAAAATAAAAGTGAATAAAAATAATGCTTGGACTTGGTTCCTTACAAAATAAGGCAACTGTAATATCTGGCATGTAAAACCAAAAGTATCATTAGAAGGCAAAATTACAAAGCAGAGCTCTTGTATTTTGGTCTTATCATAAAGCCAACTCTCCAGAAATATTAATGCTTGGCACGGTCAGTGGGACGAGAAGAGGAGGATGCCAAAGAACACACTACCATAACATAGTCATGGCCGATACAACAAGGAAGAGCCGAAAAAAACAGTTCAAGACAGGAAAGCACAAAGTTAGTCAATGCATAGAGTGACATCATTCGATTGATGATGTCGTCGTCATTCTACATCACATCAAACTCAGTCTACCTACAGGTTTTATACTCAGGTAACACATTCTTCTGACAAATATATTAGATTTCTTTTTACTCATTTGTTTGACAGATTCATCCATATTCAATGATGTATCTAAACACTACATACAAACTAGGTATTAGACTAAACAACTGTAAAGTGATTTAATAAAATCTTTGATAATTAAAACATGTTTTGGTGAGTTACCTTTAGGTCATTTATTAATATATGTGTATAAGAGTAAAGCACCTAAAAGTAACCTCTACCCATTTTTTACCCTGTATAAAAGCTTCTTAAGAGCCTGATAAATGACAAGTTTGAATATTCAAATAATTGTTGTTAATTTAATAAAAATTTCAAATATAAAATTAGTTTAATGTTAAAATTTAATTACAGAATGATTGAGAAACATAATTAAAAACGAAATATATCAAAACAATAAGAAATATTCAATTATTACCTGACTAACTTCATCTTTTTTCTTTGAAAATCAAATCTGACAAAAACAATATGGCGTTGAGCATACGCCGCTAAAATCACGTTGCCAGTTTTTGTCTCGAGAATGAAAATTAGTAAAATTAAAATAATTAATAGCTTATTTACATCTTGTAACGTATTAATTTAACGTTTTATATTTTAATCAATAAAATCTATACGAATTTAATTAAATTTTAAAAAATAAATTTGTTTATTATTACTATATTAATGTGTTTTTCATCGGATTTCGATCTGTCACGTGACGCGAATATTATTCTCTAATTGACTAGAGTAAAATATTTGAAATGATATTTTGCTAAACGAACTCGTTGCGATCAATACATTTTTATATGCTATTTATATTACTAATCTTTGTTTCGCTAGATATAATAGCTTATTAAGTGATTAAATATGAGGAAATTTAGCTAAATATTCTCAAAATTTCGGTATAATTCAATAATTCTTCGACATTGCGCTAATAGTAAATGCTACTAACACACATTGAATCTTCATAAAAGAAATCGTGAAAGTTAGTCTATTTCTCGTAAATGAATTTTTGTAAATTTGGGGAGATGCTGTATTTTATAATAAGAAATAAACGCGGATTTATTATAAAGTAGATTTAGATCAATAAGTAGAGCGTAAACAGTTAACGAATCGATCTTCGTGACAAACTTCCAGGTAACAGTAACATTTTGAATACCTATTATCGACTACACGATAATTCTGTCATCAAAACATCTCCTGAAATCCGATATGGACTACACCACCGTGGCCACCTCCGCCGTCCTTTCTTTTTTAGTAATGTTAATCGCTCGTGTAAGTTTAATATGTTTTTCCTTTTGTGTTTTATTTGAACCCGTAACGTGTATAAAGTCATTTTGAATGCATTTAGAGGTAAAATCCCGGCAATTTAAAAGATTAATTTGCTTCTTTGGGATTACCGGGTCCACCGGAGCATTCGACCGCTCGTTAATCTGGCCGTATTTCTAAGCTATTGAAAATCTCAGTTTATACCAAATTACGTTAACGCAAACATCTAAAAAGACTAAATTACATTTCGTATTATTTATTTTAAAACATATTCGTTAGTTACGCACAGTATGTTATGTAACTAACATTCAGATTTCATCACAGTAAGTCGGACCGAAGTTTTGATTACGTAACTTTTAATTTTTAATTGTTAAAAATTAATATTAGAAATAATATTCAATTTTATTCACAGTTATTTTCTTTAAGTTCAAATTCAAAAATTTTAAATTAAAAAAAAAATTGCTTAGTATAATTTTTATTTATAAAATCAATCAGAGGGCGTTACGCGTTATGATAATGGCGGAAAGTCAGGTTTGGTAGCTCGTAAGAAGTAACTTGTTTTAACGTTTATATTCCTCGGAATGATGTGAAGAGTTTAAATATTTAAAAATCAGCATATTTAGATGATTATAAAGAATTTTAACTCGAGGTACGTTCCCGAATGGACTCGCTAAGCCGGAATTATCCAAGTTTATTTCTTAATTTAAGTAATTAATATTAGAAACAATATTTTTTACGTTATAAAACGTGGATGTTGGAAAGTATGAAAACAATTTATATTTATTAAATCTGCACAAATGATTTGTTACCTCAAGTGGAAAATAACAATGTTCTTTGCGCCAGTAACTTTAAAAATTGTTTATGGACTGAGATTATTATTATTATCACTTTATCAGCTCATTGAACAAGAGATTTCACGTCCACAAATTCACTTTCTTGCCTAACATCCCAGTACATTCGGAGATTTGTTACAGATCATTGGTTTCTCATAAGTTGTAAGCAATTTCGGTTAATGTGTACCTAGGTAACCCCAATGGCAGCGCTTCCGACTTGTTCATGGGCCCAACAGACTTTTCCCGGAGGGGACCTGCCAGCAGGCTGCCATGTGCCAAACGTTACTAGTTATTGATTCACGGTAGCTCTTGAACAAAATTAAAAAAAAGGAAACGTGTACTAAAAATATAATTAATCTAATCTAACCGAAGTGCCACCATCTTGGACTACCTAGGTACACATTAACCGCAATTTTTATATTAATGAAATATGCAGAGGAATTCCGAGTGGCCAGATATAACCCTTTGTTGAGGAAGAACTTGGTAAAAACCGACCTTCGCATCACAGGGGCGAAGGTCAGTTTTTACAGAGTTCTTCCTCTACTGCCTGTTCTACGTGCACTTCTGTGATCTCTATTTCTTGCACCTCGGCGCTTGGACGGGGTGAGCCCACCCGGGTGCCACACTCTCCTAAAATTATATAACATTGAGTACTCCACAAATGGTTGAGTGGGCTACTCGAAGCCGGCATAGTCACGTGGGCTAAATAATTAAAACTCTTGGAAGTACTACCTAGATGCACTTCTACCGAGAACTCTCTATAACCCGTATTTTGACTTGTTGGTTAGTGTTAAAGTACATCTGGAGCATGTTGTTTTGATGCATTGGTCGGTTTGTGGGTTCCGCCGTACCAGAAAGATTCAAAAATGAGCTTAATGTATTGCCGGAGAGTGTGATGATGGGTGGGATACATTTTTGGTAAAATTGTGACTTGGAATGAGGCAGTCGGAGCCATAGATAATTTTTTTTTTAATTATGCAACTTGTGCTTTTATTGCATAACTTTTTAGTGTGTGGATAATTCAAATTCTTTTATGTTGAGAAAATATCGATGGTAGTTATCTGTTGAAGGATTGTGGCCGAATCCCCGATTGCTTTGCAAATTTTTTCTATATGAGAATTTATGACTGACATTGGGAGATGAAAAGTTTTATCTAGGACAAACTATACTTTATCTGTTTGTCTTACTAAACTTATATAATTAAATTTTCTACCTATAATTAATTTTTTAGCTTACAATCCTGCATACTTGCATTGGTAAATAAATTTAAAAGATATAAAACATCATATAAAAATGTTAACGGATTAAAAATGGACAATAAAAGATGTTTGTTAATGCAGTTAAATTTTTAAAAACATTTTTTTATGGAAAAAGAGAAGATTAGTTTTGCCTAATTAATTTAGCCAATTAGTTTGCAAGTAGGAAAAATTGTAGACCTATAAATTTCCATTGTCGTCCATCTGTCTTTCCTTAATATTGAGACTGGAATTAGGTAGATGAGTGACGGGACCAGATATTGAATTTTTAGGGGCAGGAGGCCTCAATTAACTATATATGAATTTCCAATGCAAGCAGGAAGTCATGTTATTTCAATTAAAAAATTTTTCCCCGAATGGTGTTATATAGATGACAGGCAAAACTTCATTCGTGAAGGAAAAATATTATATTTTAAATTAAATAAATTTAAAAATGTAATTAAAAATTGCAGCCTGGCATTTTAACAATGTCATAATAAAAGAATTGTTTGTTTAGTGCTAAAAATTTGGCCCAATTCTTTCAAAATTCTTTCTTTGATCAAATCCAACAGAATTTATGATATAAATTATGCTTATATTATTTTAATTTGAAGCAAGTAACATTTAAAAATTATTATAAAACAATTATGTCCATAAAAGTTATTTAAATGTAATAAATTTATGTAATATATGCTTATTTTTATTGTCAAAGTATGATGTTTCCATTCTCTATCAATATTAACATTTTATGAAGTGATACTGTACAGTTTAAATTAATTGTATTAGTACTGTAATTGAATTTTACTGTATCATTGGATACTCTGCAGTTGAAATTGATTAGACAAATGTATGGATTTGTAGTGGAATTTGGATAATTTAAAAATACAAAAGTAGCATTTTTCTGTCATTTAAGATTGTTTATAATTTTTTGAATGAATGCAAAATTCGGGTACAGATTCTTGTGGCAATAGATCTACCATATATTTATGTGGTAGACCTATTGCCGTAAGACAATACAGTTGTATGGTAGACTTATTGCTTCACGAATCTACATTCAAATTTGGTTGTATTTTTTGCAGGTGGTTCAGTTACTGCATTGTTTTTCAACCCTTGCTCATGCTGACTGATAGTTTTCAGAGTTAAGATTACTTACAAGGACTATAATTAATATCATTAATTAACCTAAACAATAACATAGAGGAAAGCAAATATTTATCTTTTAAATACTATACCAAAGCAAGTGTTGAAAAATTGAGATAACATGTTATTGTGAGGCCCTCAACTGTAACTTCAATAGTGTAGATTGAGTATGTTGTGATAGCAAATTTATATTGCCAATATCAATATGATAATTTTCTCTTAAATAAATGATTAATATGAAAAATAACTCTGATAAATTATAAAAGTTGGTTTAGTCATTTACAAATGTTAGATTTTTTTTCAATAAATGTTGCATTATTCTATTTCCAATTATGATATTGGTAAATGTAAAACACTGTTGAGGAGTATTTACATATAACCAGGTGTACGGATTTTCTATAGAAGCTATATTAAAATTGGGCAGACAGCCAAATTTTTAAAATTATACAAAGAGATGATGAATTACACGTGAACATAAATCACTTGGATTAAATGTGGTATAATGATTTTCTGATGGCATCCACCAGTGGCCGATGGATAAATCATTGAACACTGACTAATTACTTACTAATGAGTGATTGTGTGGAGTTTTTTGGATTTTTTTCACATGTCTAACACCTAAATGGGGGCCAGTTTCTCATGAGAGACCTGAGAGACAGGTCCTCATTGGCAGATCACCCATTGGTTTATTGTATCATTCCAATCAAATCGTATTTGATTTTCTGATAGCATCTGAAGACAATCTAATCAGTGTAAAGCGGAAGCAATATTTTTTCTTGTAATACTTGATAAAGACGTTAGAATTTATCAAATATATTTATTTCAAGAAGAAAAATATTACTTTTCTGGATGTCAAAACAAAGGACCCTTTTGTCAGATAAATCAATAGACTGTGTGCGCATTGAAAAATTATTTTAATAACATTTTTTAGTAAGTGTAGAAACAAATACAACTAATTTTTAATACATTTAAATAAAGTTTTTAGAATGTTAAAGAACAAAATGCATTTTAATCATTAAAATGTGCACATATTTTTTCCTCTAGTATTTCAAGATGAGACCCTCACTCACTGCAATTCTGTGCTTTTTGTTTGCCAGTTACATTGCCCATGCCATTTACAGTATTTATAACATGTACCATGTGCATCCCTGTCCACCAAAAGAGGACTGCCTAAAGCCATCTTGGACCACGAAAACAAAGTTTCAGGTAATTATATGAGAACGAGTATTTTAATTGATAAAAAAATTATTTATTTGATTTAATTATCAGCTGAGTCTGCAGGTGATGCAGTACTATATTATTCCATAAGTAATTCTTGTACTGGACCAGTGACTCTTGTTATGCTACTGATTATGTGGTACAGTCATGTTCAGATATGCAGTGTTAGTTAAAAACAAAAATGGCCAATTGCATCATTGTGTTAGTACCTATTATCACAGGCTTGATAGAAAGGAGGAGGGACAGTGTATCTAAATAAGTAAAAGATAACCGGAGAACTGAATGAAAGTCTTGAGAAATACCTGCTAGAATGGCTACCCATGAGGATCATTATTCATATCAAAGTTTTGATATTTTGACTATGACTGAAAGTAATACTGTGGATAATGGATTGGTTGATTGTAATGGACCAGTATATTTAATAACAAAGTTTGCTGTGGTCTTTATGTGATTGTAAGAATGTGCCAAGATTCCAAAAAAGGTGGAGAACCACTGTTCTAGATGTTTTAGAATGAATAATTGAATTATAGCTTAAAAATAATTTTAAAATGATTTAATTTCTATATTTATGAATATAAAATATTTATTTCAGATCTTTCTGTGTACTTCTCCTCAATCCATTGCTTATTTTTCATCTGATTTGGTGTCAGTTTGGTCTAATAATAATTTTGATATTTCACAAAACAAAGAAATGTAAGTATTCTCATACTGTTCTTTATAATTTTGGATAATTTACATAAGATAATAAATTTTATTTAATTAGAGAATTAAATGTCACCTTGCCATCAAAAACATTGAATAATGGCAGTTTATATCTGCACGTGTACATGATTCCTCTTCAGACCACTAGGAAACTACTGGATCTGAATTCCATAATGAATCATGCCAAAAGCATTCATGGAACAGGATCTCTGACAGAATTTCAAATTCAACAAGCAGAAGTGTTTAGTTTGTTGAAGAAGTCTGAAGATGAGAAAGTAAATTTAATTACTGAAGTTTTACATATAGATAAATTAATATTGTTATTTTAATATTATGGCATTATATCTCAGAAAAAATCGAAGAAGAAGAAGTCTCGAGTAAAGCCAATTTCTCATTGGAAATCGCATCTAACTCTTCACATGATGTCGGAACCCATACCGCTTTTTTTGCGTTCGATTCCAGGGGAGATTGCTAATTATTTAAAGTAAGACTCTTACAAAATTATGATTTTATAATAAAATGTAAAAAATATACAGCCGTTTTATTTTGTAGAATTACTGGAAATAAGCAATATTGTCCAATCATTCACATCAGCAAATTGAGTTACAAATTAAAGGATCTAGTGGTAAGTATTGTTATCAATCTACAGATGCGAACTATTTAATAAATAAAGTATCAAAGTATATTGATTTATGTTTTTTTTTTTTTTTTTCTAGCCTATTAACAGTAGCCAATCTGTGATGCCTCTCACTATTGCCTTCACTCCAATTACTATTGGGAGATTGCGACTAATGGTTATTGTTGAACATGCAATGGATTCATTACTAAAAATGGGTACTGTTTTTGTTCTTTTTTATTAAAATACATAATTTCTTAATATGAAATGCCAGTTTAATTCAGTCTTCTTTATTTACTTATCTATAAATACATATTTATATACATACAAGCATAAGCTTATGGCACTCCCTGACTTTTGGATGTAATTTATTTCTAAAAATGTGTATGAAAGTCAAATCTTGAAAAGTCAAAAACCATATTGCATGTTATGAAGAGGTTTCTGTTCTCAGAAAGTAAAAAAGAAAAATGATGAAATCTCTTATTACGATAGGAAAGTTTTGGTTTTTTATACAATGAATATGTTACAATGCTTAAAGCATATTTAAAGTTTTAAAATTAGATTAAACAGACAACAGAAATTAATTTTCATAAGTGATTTTGATGCTACTGAAATCAAAACAGATATAAAGCATTATTGTGTAATAATATGAAATTTTTGTTTGTCAACTTTAAAATGTACAGGTGGAAATTTGTTATGTGAAAAGCAGTTTAAGGTTAATGTTGTCTAAAAGTTGAGGACTTGCTTTTCATGTGCTTTAACACACACAGCAATATGCTATTATGACAAGACCATTTAATTTGTATTTCTCTAAACTTGTAAACTTAAAATGTTTATTATTATACAGGTTTCACTGATAAGGATACCGACGAGATTAAAGGAATATTTTTTGATACTAGTATCTACCTATTACTTTTAACCATATTTGTTTCTGCTTTTCATGTAAGTTTTTAAAAATTTAAGACATTTTATTATTCATTAATTTTGTAATTTTAATTTATTTTGATATGATTGCTTTGGATCAGGACTTCTTAAACATTTTTCTATTTCTGACCCTTTTTTTGCACAAAAACATTTTATGCGATGCTGGGTATATAAATACATAGGTACTATACATAAAATAAATATATAAACTAAACCTTAACTGATAATAAATCAGAGAAATTTAATTCCAAACAATTTTTTGTTATAATTAAAATTTTACCACATTAACATTTATTATGACAAAAGCAAGTGTGCTTACTAATGAGATGGATGTGTCGTTTATTTTTAAACAAACAGTTAAATTTTGATTGAATATTTGATACTGAAAATTTCATGAACAATATCATTACTGGGGATGAGATATTGGTCTATGGGTATGATGTGGAAACAAAATGTCAGTCATTACAGTGAGTGGGAAAAACTTTACCACAATCCAAAAAGGTGCAACAAGTTCAGTTGAATGTGTAGGTCTTGCTTGCTGTTTTGTTTGATTTTGATGGTGTCATTCAACAGGAATTTTTTCCAGAAGGAAAGACAGTAAATAAGGAATACCATCTGGAGGTGTTGAAACGTCTTTGTGAAGCAGTGAGGAAGAAAAGACTGACTGCTTGGAGAGAACAGCATCATGACAATGCTCTCATCCACACAATCCTACTAATAACAGTTTTTGGCCTAGAGCTTGATGCCACTTGGTTCTTCAACCTTCAAATTCATTGGACTAAACCCCAGCAGGCTTCTTTTTGTTTCTAAAATTAAAATCTGCTCTCAAATTTTACCATTTTGAACCCATTGATTCTATTAAGGAAAATTTGCTAGTGGAGCTGATCATCATCCCAAAAGAATCATTCAGGAAGTGTCCTTTTCATAATAGAAATGCTGAATTTGGTACATAGTTCCAGGAGAGGATCACTTTGAAGGCAACAAAACTGACTTCTTTTTATTTTACACATTTTTGGCAAAAAACAATAGTTTGTTTTTGCTTTTGTATGAAGCAAAGTCTATTGTCAGTAGCAATAAAAACAATACAACATCAGTACAATAAAATTAAAAAATGATTAATGAAAATTGCATAGAGAATAGTCCAGTTTTAAGCCAAGATCATTATAATTTATAGAATGAGCAGATTTTTATCTGTACAAAATATGAATATATTATATATATACAGTGAATTAGATATCATTTATTATATAAATTTTTCAGTTGCTTTTTGACTTCTTGGCATTTAAAAACGACATCAGTTTCTGGAGGAAGCGGACCAACATGGTCGGTTTATCTTACCGAACTCTCATTTGGAGATGCGTCAGTCAAGCTATAGTGTTTTTATATCTTTTAGATGAAGAAACTAGTTTGCTGGTTTTAATTCCTATGGGAATTGCAGCTGTCATTGAGGTAATCCTTCAGATAACATAAACTATAATGTAATTTCATTATTAATATAATAAATTTTGTTATAGTTATGGAAAGTTACTAAAGCATCAAAAATGAATATTTCTTGGATTGGATGGAAACCAAAAATAAGCGTATGAATTTATTGTTAGTTTCTATATTAAAAAATTAACTATTACTGAATTCGATTTTGTGAATTACAGTTTGGAAGTACGAGCAATGATGAAAAAGAAACTGCAATGTATGATTCTCAAGTAAGTTAGTTTTTTTTTTATTTAAGTGGGGAAAAACATATTTACTTTAGCTTAAAGATAAATAAATATTACTTGTTAGTTTATAAAAATAAATTCTTATAATAACGAAAGCATTGCGTAAGATTCAAGTTTTCATTTCTTTCATTAGTGGTTATTTTTAATTCTGAGTAAGTATAATATACATTATCATGACCATTGTGTACTCTGTGAACAGTAATCCCCAGTAAATGTAAACAATTGTGTCCAAGATGTGATTTGAAACTATGAAATGAATTAAAAAAATAGTTTAATGCACAGAGACAATTCATAAGTCTGTAGACACCCTGAATGTCAGCAAACACAGGATTCAAAATTAACTTTGAAAAATACATTGCCATATTGAACTTCCAGTCTGTTTACAAATGATGGAGCTCCTCGTCACACTGCTGAAAAGACATTGAATTGCTGGCAGCACAATCTGCAAACTTTTACAAACCAGTCAGTCACCTGACAAATCTTATTGAGCAAGTCTGGAATCTGATGGATGGTGCAGTGTGGTGACATTTATGAAAAACGCTTCCTGTGGAGAACTTTAAGATTGTTTGCTTGCCAAATGGACCAACGTTCCATGGGCAAAGATAGCAGAACTCATCAATGGAAATAGAGCGACACTTCTTGCATTTATCTCCACTGTTAGATTTACTATTACGTTTTGGATGCATGTTTGAAGCACTAATCATAAAACTTTAAAAAATTGCAAATAGGAAAAATGCTGTTACTCCAGTGCTATTGACTACAATGTCACCTCTCGGTGATGGAGCATTGGAATTTGCACAAAAATGAAAAATGATGATGCAAAATAGAAATAAGTTCACATTAATTATTTTTTTAAAATTTATTATTTATTACTGGTTAAAGGCTTACTTCAACACCAGCCCCTACCAGCAAGAGAACTTCAGAATCTGTGTGAAATTTAAATTTTTGACATATGGTCGAATTATTCATATGTCTGAAAGTTCATAAGTTGAACATTTGTAAATAAGGGAGCTCCTGTATGTGCAAATTATGAGACAAGTTAAAAATTCAATAAAACAAGAGTTATAATAGATTTTTTAAAAAAATTTTTTAAATTCAAACTAAAATTATAAAATAATTAAAACTCCCGGACTATGATTATAATTAGTGTTACTTCTGAACTTGAGAGTAAAAGTGTCTTCATTGTTTGTCATCTTTTTACATCTCAGAATTGTATAGTGTAGTCCAAGGAGGACTCTGCAGTAACCTTACTCAAACTACATTATGAAATCCTGAGGTGTACAGGGGGACAAATTGATAAGACACTTTTACTCTAAAATTTATAAGTTTAGAAATAATAGTTGATTCAAACACAGCAGTTTTATTTTTTCCTTTATAAACAGCAATGCATTTTGGATTAAATTTTTCCTAATCCATCTTCAGATTTCCAACATAGCAATCAAGCCACTTGTTTTTTAAAAGTAGCTGTTTTTTTAAGAAAATCTTGGTCTCTGATTTAAAATTTAGATAGTCCCAATATGGAAGAAAAAGATGTGAAGTTTCACTAGTCTTATGATTTATAACTGAATTTTAATTTGAATAAACTTTGTAATGATTTATTGTCTATAGACTTGACTATCTGAAGACAATTGAAATGATAGACATTTTATTAGCATGATAACACATGCATTTGAACAGAATGCCAGTAATTTGCCAATTAAGACACAACTCATTCAGAACAATAGTCTTGGAAAAAATATGAAAGTAACAAANCAGCAGAATTATTATACAGTTGTTAATTATTATTATTAAATCCTTCTCTGAGAAACAATATAATTTCAAGAATAACTATCTAGAAACAAACTTAATTTTGTCATAAGTTACTTCTCTACAGGAAATACTAAGTCCAATACCAAATATTCCATTGTTTCTGTTTTGGAGGTTCGTGTTATTCGAAGGTGTATTTCAGCGTGTTATTCGAAGGAGTATTTCAGTTCTAACAATGTTTAGTTGAGTGTAATACACCCATGCAGGTTATTGGCACGAAATTATGGTAAATTACGTTAAACATTCGAAAAGTTTTCTGCTATTGTAAATAAAACAAAAAGGGTTTGTATAACTTATCAGATCTTACCTTTGAAAAAATTGATCTTAATTGTAAATTACTTTATACTTCTGACTTTTAATTTAGGCAGTTATCTTTGTTTTTAAATAAATTTTTGCTTTTGCATATTTGGTCAGTTTGTTTCTACAAAATACAATAAGTAATTTAATTGCTCCACGCTACAGGAAATTTTGGGAATATTTGATATAGTTATGCTGAAATTATCGTGTGAATTGCATTCTAATTAGTTTTTTGTCATACAGAACTGACACGCTACAGGGCGGATGTAGCTTTTTACTTAATGTTTTAAGTTTGTGTCGTAGCAGTACAAAATGAAACAAATCAGAAACTACTCCGAGTAATTTCAAAAGTCAAATAAATTTTATTTTCAAAAAAGTATAAAAAAATTAAAAAGTGCACTTTTAACAGATTGAAATAGAACTTCACAGGCCGCTTTTTATATACAAATTTAATAAAAAGTCGATGATAATAATTTGCAAAATAACGCTTCTTCTATAAATAAATGTGTAAAATTTAAAAACCAAGTTTTACACTTGGGACATGGAGGCATGACTTACGACCGCGCGCAACTTTTCTTCATTTTGGACAATGAACGGTCGTAACGTAATTTATGTACAGTACACGTCGTGTAAATATATATATATACACACACATACACACACCACGGAGCATTCCCTGGGGTTAACGAGGTTAAAGAATCGTGGCATCACGAAGGGTATTTACAAAAGAAGAGATGTAAAAGTGCCACTAGCAAAACCGTTCCCCAATTAAAGGTTAATGTTACGGCAGTACTGAAGTAGGGACAGTAAGGACACTGATAGGAACCGCACACTTCACAGATGCTCAGCACGTAAAGACTGTAGTCTTCGAATATTATTTCTTGACTGTATTCTGAAATAATAGAAATTTGTGTTTAAAATACGTTAATCGGCCTACCTATGGCAGTGGCCAATGCCTACCTGGTGCGTAATAATCGTAAACTTTGGCTTTCAGATAGCGGGTGAGGTTGGCCACCGGAAACCATCTTTCGACAGTAAACTTGACGCACGTCCATTCGTTCCCTAACTAATTTATCAAACTGCGTTATCGGATACTATTTTGTACAATCTTTGCGTAAACTGCACGGTACTTACGTAATCGAACATGAAAACTGCGGTTTTAGGTAGTACCCTGGCCCTCTTCAAGTTGGGCACTACTTGGCTCCTGACATAGTCGTCCATAGTGGGTCGATACACGTCGTATCCGGTGGGTAGTAAAATTTCTATAACCGCCACTCCGCTGGTAGGACTCTCCGAAGTCAACAGCCACCTGAAAGGAGAGTCACATCGTAATTTTTCAAAGGATTAGCTAACGCCCGCAGGGGAAGAGCCTACTTACTTGGCGCAACACTCTATGTTCATGTGCGATTTATTTCTTCCATGATAAAACTCTCTTATCGTCAAATCGAAAGCGGGAACGGGCGAAGGTAGCATCAGGAAATCGCGATCCACGTTGTAACTTACGTCCAGTTGCAGAATGGACAGTCCCGATCCTTGCGACAGGACTTCAACGTGTCCCCAAACGTTAGGCAGGATCTGCAAAATGCGAAACAAAGAAACTTGCGCATTTAGGCCTACACCAGCTAATCTCTTAGTGTTAAAACACCATTGGAAATTATAAAGGATTACCTCAATTTCCTTTCTTTGCGCCAAATTTTTCTGGGTGACATAAACAGTTTGGATATTTCCAGCGTTGGAACTAGATTCTACGGTCAACTTCATGTTGGTGATCTCTCGTATGTGAGTGCGGAATGAATACTCTACCAGAGCCTGTACGGCCACTATGGTGTCCTGGAAACCAAACGCCATTACTACACTGGGGAGGAAGGAACGGCAAAGAAATGGGCGAGTACCTGAGTGGATATGAAGCCGACGTCGAACATCCTCATGCTGTTGAGCCATTTGACGATATGTTCTTGGTACAGACCGCCGTAGTTGAGGTATACCATGAGAGCGTAAGCCGTGGCTTCCACCGCCATGGCGTCGTGCTTCCGAGGCAAACGCGGTTGCAGGAAAGGCCTCTGGTTCTGATAAACCATTTGCGGCGGAGGGATCTTCTCCGGACTCCAATACACTAGACCTTCTGTAGTATTCCAAAAAACAATTTAAGGCAAAACGGTAGAACGGCGGCTACTTACTGAATTGGAGGTAAGAAGAAACCAACCTGCGGACAACTTGCTGTTTTCCAATTTGGAAAATCCCACTTGAGCATCGGCGCTTCCCGCCAACATCAGAGCGTAAGTGACAATGGCCACTTCGTAGGGGTGGTTCAGATCGGGTAGCTGCGTTTCTAGGTAGGCAGTGGCTCGCTTCTTGGCCGAAGCCACTTCGATTCGTAAATCCTAGAACAGTGGGAAGCGGTCAAAAACGTCGACAGAAGTCGCGCCGTCCTCTTCCCAGTCGATACTTACTCCCACGAGATCGTCAACTTCGCACAGAGTGATGAGCACGTGCGCAGTCAGAGAGATGTTCTTGTACTGAATGCGGTCTAAAGAACTTTTCGACTGTAAACGGAAAGGCGAAATTAACTCCGTTATTGCTAAGAATTTAAAAATAGAATCGGCGACGACTCACCCTGGGATCCATTCTTCCGTTCCAAGGATGAAGAGTGGTCTCGTAGAAAGAACCCTGAGAGGTCTGTTTTCTCAAGATGTATCTCGTGGCCTTGGTTATTATTTCGGGGTCGAGATACAAATTATTTTCCCAATCGGGGTATTGCGCTAAGTGGAAAATTCTAACGGCGTAGGCCGTCAACCTGTAAATGCAGAAATTTTATCGGTAATCTAAAAGCATTTTCTAGAACCCGAATCCGCCATGCTTACCAAACGCTGGGCTCCTTCATAAACATGGTGAATGCGTTGTCTTTGTAAAATACGCAAGCGAATACGTAGGCTAGAAAACCATTTGTGATATGAAATTTTTGAAAATGGACGAAGCTTTAATGATTAACGAAGAGAAAACGAACGTACCTCGATTTAAATACTCCAAGATTTTCTTGGTGATAGGAGCGTGCAGCTGATTGGTCTGGCGCAAGTAAATTAAGGTGTACAAGTTGTAAGCGAAATTGAACAAGACTTGATCCCCCGACTTGACCGAGTAACTGTGTCCGACGTCCGTGGCGTCCACGAAATCCTCCGTGGGCAAAGGTGCACCCACGATGTCGCCTGAAGATCGAGTACCCGTTACGGTTTGCCCTTTAAATTTTTATAAATTGATCCGTTTCTTACCTATGACAGACACCCTGGCGCTGGCGGACCCGAAAAGGTAACGCCTGTACGTCTCCTCCAGAGGAATTATGGGATCTTCCGCCACCGTCAAGTTGAGGTATTTTATGTTGTAGGCTTCGGATCTCATGTCGAGTAAGAGCGACGTGTGTACGGTCACGGGAGCGCCGTCGGGCTAATTTTTTAAAATTATTCTTTATTCTACGTTAACCGTAAAAATAACGCGAGAGGATATAAAATTACTCGCCAGAATTTCCATGGGAATGGTGACGACGTCTTTAGCTACTTGTGTTCTACCCGTGATTACCACTTCGATCTTTCCTTTCCTGGTAGCCACTATTGGCACGTGGACGATAAACTGTCCGTACGGTTTGATCTGTAATTCGATAAACACGTGTTTTGACCAGAAAACGTATCGGTTTCGATTTTTGAAATACTGGAGGCTTACGTAAACCAAATGCTGGTGTTCTCCCGAAGTCAAACGGGGACCGTACGATGACACCACACCGAAAGCTTCCACTTGTACGAATTTGTAGTCGTCGGAAGGCGCCAAAATTACTTCCGCCTGCGCAAATATTCAAAGTCTACAATTCTGTATTCTCTTCCCCGTGTTTTTAACGCCATTACCTTTATTTCGAAGCGTTGGAAATTGAAGAGCGCCACTTTGATTCCTATTTGTTCTCCGATGATGGCCACTTCCGGCGATTCTATGGTGATGAAGAAGGGTCTGGCCGAATCGTGCTAACGGTTCGACCATTGTTACCGGATGTTTTAGATTTTGGGAGGGGCGAGTAAGAACCGTACTTACCAGAGGAGGATCCTCGAGTATAACCAAACCGTGCAATTTACTTATTCCTATGGCGTTGAGCCTGTAAACGCTGGGACCTTTGGGTACTTCGCATTCCACGAAATCGTTATTCTGATGGCTTAAACAGATAGGAGCAATCTTAGTTGTTTACCGGTTAAAATTAGCGCTAAATAAATAAACAAACAATAAAATACCCGAGAAGAACATCGTGCCAGGCGAAATCGCTGGCGGTGGCATCCACGAACGAGTTCTGTCTGTTCTTTCTGTAAATGAAGAAGTGTAGCAATTCGTTCTCGTCTTCGGTCTCGCCTGAAATGGCGTAAATTCGTTAGAAATTTCAAAACTTGACGTAATCTCGAGAGACAACAACGTCAAATTGTTTACATGCGGCTTCGTCGGAACCATCCGAACAATCTCTGTAACCGTCGCACTTTCTATCGCTGGGATAACAATCGCCGTTCCTGCAGAGACCGTCCGTCTGTAGACACGCACCTGTAGAAAGATGGGGGAATTGTTCGTAAACTGTAAACAATTAACTAGCATCGTAGTATTCGATACTTACGAGGATGAGATCCGACATTCAAATTGGTGAATACGACCAGACTCGAGAACTAAGACAGAAGAAAAACGTGTTAAATGTGGTTGTAAACTAACGAATATGACGTTTCCCAGGCGAGATAAATTTATAACGTAACATACATACTGCGAAAGTCTTGTTAGTGTCGGTGCCGTAATTAGACGTGCTGAAGTATTCTATTTTGCTGGGTCCCCCTTCTCGGTCTTGCCAATAGACGCGTTGCCGAAGCAAGTGATGCTTCTCGAACTTGTACATTTGTTCCAACAACTGGAATGACAAATAAATTTTCGGTTAACTTTCGAATTTGGCTCGAATTAAGCAGACTAATACACCAAGGCATTTGTTCTCCTAAACACCACAAAGCCTCGCCTGTCGAACCATCTGTTAAAAGTGAGGATGGAACCCCTATAAAACAGTAAAGAATCCCCATTCCGTTGTTAGTAGAGAAGTTCCACATTGGCGTCGGATTGGGATTGGATCCCGACACATATTTAGTGCGTTGCACACTAAGTTGGATCGAAACCCTGGGTTGAAAATTGGTAAAAATCGGCAGATACTTACGGAAGAGGGAGTGAGATCGTTGTATCCTTGAGTAGAAACCGTATCCAGGTCTACGCCCGAAAGTCCCACGCGAGCTTCCGTGCTCAAGATGGGTACCAATTCTATAATGTTACCGGTTCGATCCTGTTTTTTGTTTACGTCCAAGGTAAACTGCAAAACGGAGTTAAATTATTAGAAGGGGTAGGCTCCGGGTGGAAGACGGTAAAATAGGCGTACCTACCGGCACTCTGTTGACGGCGTTGACGGGAAGTATCATGGAGTCGGCCACCAATTGGCCGTCGTTAGTCACGTGATAGACCAGAACGGACAGACTGGGAGCCATTTCCGGCGAGACGGGAACCACGAAAGTAGTGATGCTCTTGACAAGACCCGCCACTTTTTCGCTTCCCATCTGAAGTATTATGCCTTTGGACATGACCTGAAAGGAACAGTCTTTAACGCGTGAAGGAACGTAACGTGGACGGATTACGCTTTCGCTCTTCTTACCAAATAATTGAAACTTTTCAGGTGGAAATCGCTCCTGACGTGAAAAACTGCGAATTCTCCCGCCTGGTGGACACAAAGCCAAATTTTATTTTCATTATCATAAAAAGTTAAATTAGTATTTAATTTTGTGAAAACACCAAAAGACTAACTTGAGCGAGTTTTGTGCTGGAAGTTATCTGAAGGTTTCTTTTGCGTTCCGAGTAATGTGCCAATAGAGTTATCGACGTCTGAGCCCGCCCTTGCTCGTCTTCGTATCTCGCCTGTCGAGAAACAGATATCAATGGCTTACATGAATGGTAATTATCTGCGATGCGTTGTAACGGTTTGCATCGGACCCCTCCCGCAATCGGCTAATTTCTGTCTTCGTTTTATATCGCAATTTATTAGTACAACTATATAACGACGGCTTAAGTCTGGGGTGGGAAAGATCACGCGCTATTTTCGTCACGAGGATTACCAGGCCACACATTTCGTTTACGTATGGCTGTGGTTTCCAATCCTACCCGTAAGAATAAATGTGTGGGGGCGCCATACAGCCACACAAAATAGCGAAATACTCATACGAATTACCCAATCGATAACATTATTTAGTATGTCGTACACTTACCGAAACTTCTATTCTCTCGGCATCTTGAGGAGTCTCGATGGATATTTCCAGAACTCCGGTAGAGTCGAAGTGTTCTTCTATCTCTCTCAACCTTCTTCTACCTCCCAGTTCCATTATTGCCATAGGTTCGATTAGAAGAGAGGAAGTGGACAACCTTTCTTCGGAAAGGGGAACGAAATCGTGATAGGAAACGGCGATCTACACGAGCATCAAAGTAAAATGGAAATTAACCTCCGAGAAATGAGGTGGAAATATGGCATGGGATCACTTACTCTCAGATGGAACGTCATTCCGGGTTTGAATATCTGAGGTTGAGATCCGAGGAAGAAGAGATTGAGGGTGTCGTTGATGATACGAGCTCTGGCGTAACCCGTGACCACGATATCGTAGAAACGCTCTCCCACGCTGGCTCGCACCTCGATTTCGCACTGGTCTAGAGGCGTGGAGCCGGCCAATTGTTGCAGGCTTCTCATGGGGAAACTAAAATCGTACACGCCGTAAAACTGAAAACGAAATTCCAGGATTACCGCGGATTTCGTAGGTATTCTACCGTAGGTAACGCGGAACGAGACTCACTTCTACGACGTTCTCTTGCAGAAACAGATCCTTCTGCAACGTGTCGTCTCCTTTGGATTTCTTCAGGGATCGCACGTAGGCTCTGACGGTGGCGTTTCCCTGGACCAGCGCCACGTTGGTGTGGTTGGCCATGATAGAACCCTCCAGGTTTTCTTCCGAATCCAGTACGAAGGCGGGTAGTATGACGTTGACGTCGTACCTGTGACTGAACCAACGTTCCAGAAGAATTTTTTTCTCTTCCACTTGGCCTAGCGCCACGATCCTCACCGTCCACCACCCGTGGGGAAAATCTCTAGGAAGAACGAATTTGACGCTGACGAAACCCAAATGCGGATAAACGGACACCCACCTCTTCATGATGAATCCCCTCGAATCCTGTCGACGACAAATACATTTTAACGCACACTTCCTCCGCCATTACTTACTCAATTATAGTTTGTCCAATGTTCCACTCACGATCAAATAAATATTAACCGGATCGGAATAGGGTTTTAATTCTGTTGTCAGCATCACTGCACGAATTCGAACTGAAAAAGAAGTATGAAAAAACAACAATTATAATAATAATTAGTGAACTCTATCCAATGTATAAACTAAATCATTCCCTCATACTGTACACAATGTAAGGAGATGTATGCTTTTCTATTTAGTAAACCCCATTCCCCGGTTCTTAATCGGTATCGTAGGGGTGCCACAACAAAAAGAAATTTGTATAATACGAAACATTAGAAATTTATTGTTATTACTACGCGTTGAAGCGAATTTATATAAAATTCCGCGGACAAATAGCGCCACTCCTTGAATTTTTCATAATATTCTTTCACGTGACATCCCTTTATAAATCTCGTGTTAAATATGTCACTCACGCGTATGGAATTCTGTACCCGTCTATTAATAAAATTCGCCAGCCGTTGGAAGAATCGTCACCGCTGATCGAAATTCCGCCTTATGGAAGAGGAGACGTCCGAAAAAAATGGTTTTCATCCCCTCGTTAAAAGAGGAGAGCAAAAAAGTGCCTAGTTAATAACGTCACGTTTCTATATTTGCTAATTTTCCATTCGATATCTTTAAATATTATGCCTAATTAATCATTAATTGCATACGTAATCTACTTAAATCGGTTCTTTGACGTCCACTCGTCTTATTCCAAGTTAATTCCATTAATGCCATTATCTAATAAACCAGTTAATTTAATCGTCTTGTTGGATGTTTGATGGGATTCTGTCACCTCAACAAATAAAATTAGGACCGAGGACTAGAGACATTTCGTGAAAATCATGAAATATAAGTTAAAAATCATTATAGAATATTTTTTTTTCACGCCATAGACTTAGATTCAAGATGGACAAAGGAAAAAAATTATGTATGGACAAAGGAAAAAAATTATGGCCATTTTGGGGGGAGGTTTCGACGTAATTTCCTCAGAAAAATGTAATATTAACAATAATATAAACGAGGAACACTCACTGGGTTGTTCGTGATTGTACACGAGTTTGTTGGTTTGGATGAGAATGGTCAGGAAATTTGGTGAAAACTCCAACTCCGTTTCGTTATGAAAACCGGATCCTCCCAAAACTCCGTTGATGCTGCCTTCGACCCTTAAACTGTATCTACCCACCTTGACACTACTGGATACCTGAAAGTATTTAGGAAGATAATTATTATATACCCACAACAATAAACCAGCAACGAGTTGCTCAACTTTCCCGTCAAGATTTAAAATTTCGGTGGCACCATCTGTTATCATATTTTATTAATATTTTTAACTATTATAAAATGGCAAAAAGCTCAATTTCGAAGGTAGGGATGGGTTTTATAAAAAATTGTAAATGTTAATAACGAATAAAATCTTCATTAAGTCCGACCCTATTGGAGATACACACGACTTCCATTATCTTCCCACCCCTCGACCTTTAACCACCAAAATTAACACAGCATCAATCCCCCTAATACACGAACACCCTGCAAAATTTCAGAAATTTTCGACAAAAATTACAGGGGGTTATTAAGCTTATATCTTAGGGGGTCATTTTTTGACCGATGGCCACACTTTCCCTCTGTTATATATAACAGCCGGGGAAGTAAAAATGTCATAATGCAGGCAGCTTAGTATCTTGCAACAATATCCATTTATAGAATAAGTTCTATTATACAGATACAATGAGTCGTATACAATACTCACTATTGTGCTTGAAACTAGGAAGTTAATTTAATAAGCAAGAAAAAATTTAAAGGTAGACAAACGTGAATTATGAGGTGTAGGTAGCATTTATGAAGAAATTCGACTAAACCTTCCATTGATCGAGAATTTAATAAAGAAATGTAGGTTACATTCTCGTGTAACAATAAAAAATAGAATCGTGTTCGACCATTTTCTTCGTTTTAACACTGAATAATTAAGTGGGAATGAAATAAATGTCGGACAGATAGTTTATTCACGCATTTAATGGTTCCGAAGATAAGTATAGCTTCAATTCTAATGGCATTAGACAACGCGTAGATTGCAAATAAATATACTTTTGGAAGTTTTAACTAGCCAATTATAGAGCGTGTAAATAATTTTTTAATTAAACAAATACCGTTATTGGATAAATTCAAATTCAAATGTACTCTAATTGGATATTCAATTTTTTAAACTTTAATACGCAATTTATTGCCGTTTTAAAGCTCATTCGTTAAAATATTTGAATAAAAAGAGTAAATTATATAATTTTAAAGGTTAAAATGTAGAAAATAAAATAGATTTTAAAAATTTAATTTTGATTTTTATATAAGGTAGTTTTATATATAGGTTAACAGATGGCGCCAAGTGCATCTGTTAATTATTTAGACTTATTCAAAGAGTTACAGTAATAGAAAAATCATTAACTTTTTTATAAATTAGAAAATAATTATAGAGAAACGTATACATAAAACGAAAAATAAAGGCGAGTTTCCGTTGTAAGAATAATCAAGCCAAAAATTCATGCCGAACAAACGACATTTTGTCCTAAATACATGATTACTATTGTTAACGTAATAGCATGTTTACTACGTCCGAAATAAGCGGAAATCAAAACAAATGAAATCCTTAAGATATTCAAAGACGTATTTATTTTAAAAAAAAATATGACACGGCACGTTTTATTGATCAACTTTTTCTTATGCAGAGTGCACGGAGAATTGAGGAAAGAACTAACGTAATTATAGAATCCCACGGCAACACTCGTTAAAAAGCCACCCGATGCACGTTGAAAAATGTGAAGTTTGATCGTTTTCGAATCATTATAAAAGTGTTAAAGAGAAGAACACACAAATCAAAAAAGATTGCACGGGTTTCTGAGGTAGCGCGACTCATTGCACGAAGAGAAGGGAGAGATCAATATCGTGTCTTACGATGCCTCGAGGTATTGATAAGTGTGTCTATGCACGGGTTGTTCCTCCTTGGAAAAGAGTTATTCGAGCCAAACTATCTTTTAATCTGGTTGCGATGGAACAAAGATGGCGAACCCTCGTCGGTTCTTTATTTTTCTGTGTAGAAATAATTGGGAAGAAAAGAGATTGAAGCGACCTTGACACCTTTCTGTCGACGTGTTCACCTTGCCACGTACGTAACTCCTTACCAAAAAAGGGCCGCTGCGCTAGAGGAAACTAAAATGTATTGTGTAGAAGTGGCAAAAATGGAGGACGTTGTTGTCAAATTTTATATTTTGAGGCGTTTCCCACCCGAGGAACAGGTAGATCGACTGATATCGATCATCACTGGTCCTGTGCAAGTTTTTTTTTTCTATCGGTTCGTTGACTTTGCATCTTCAGAATTAATTAAAGTTGTTTGGGTAGATCGAGTTCTCTATTCTAAGAATTGTAAACCATTTTAAATTATAGTTTAAAGTACAAAAAAAAATGCTCGGATTAAACGCATGTAAAGTTTAAAGAGCATCTCGGAAGGTGATATTTATTCGGCGCGTCGCGTCGCGTCCTTCGCTCGTCGAGCAACGCGATTGCGAAATACTTTCCTGATAAGAAATACGATTATCGAATTGATTCTGTATCATTTATTACGTTATAATTAATTAATTAATCGTAATCATTTCAGAAAATATCTTTAATTATTATTTTCTATATTAAATGAGGTCAAGTATAGAAGAACGTTTACATCGCGCGACTACCTATATATGTTTTTGAATTGCGTATACGAAACGTAATAAATTACATTTATTACGTAAATTAGTATTATTATCTTTAAGTAGATTATTGCTACGACCTATTTGCATATTTAAGTTTCATAATAGGCACCTACCATGTTTGAAAATAATGGGTTAATTTTACGTCGCGCCGCTTCGCGTATAAATTTAAGAGAAAAATTTCGTAGTTTAAAGCAGTTTTAAATGTAATTAGTGTATCCGAGTTATGTTAAATCCGTCATGTCTTAAAATAACTTTTTATAATCGCTTGTTATAAATTACAGTGATGAAAATTATGGGTGCGGTGGTATATTCTCGTTGGATGCAGTGAATATGGTGTTGCATTCATACTTTTCATTGAATAAATATATTATTAAATATATCTCGTATTTTAACAGATTTAGAATTATTCATTACACAGTACACACGTGTTAATCTTCACACGTGACTAACAGAATAAAAAAAAAAGGAAGTCTGAATCGCGTCACGATCCAAGATGGCGTCGATTACAGGTGTAAATTGCCTTTCGAAGATTAATTACGTACAAAATTGTCGTTTACAGTTTCTCATATGTCGGATATACTGATATTTTTAAATATTAAACCTGCTTTTTGATTAGAAAAATCATTAATCAAACTAAAAAACATGTGTGACTCCAGTCTGGCATTTGGTAACCACATGTCGAACCAGACGTAACTCCACTGGAAAACCAAACAAATAGAGTTTTTACAGTAAAAATAACAAACTGGACTAAGATTTATCTCTTCCAGAAAGGGTATTTTTGTTTTGTCTTCCTATTTTGTACTTTATTATTAGCGTATTAGTGTCGTAAATGTGTCTAGATGATTATTTAGTGTATAAGCAAATATGCATAATTATTATAGTGACTTAAACTTATAAGAATAGTATCGCTGAGTCTACATCTGATGCCATCAATCCCACCCGAAGATTTATCTATTCTTTAATTTCAGATAATTTTAGCCTATATTTTTTCTTGTAGAATATGAAAGTAGAGTTAAATGATTGACTTCTAAAATTTCTTGTTTCTTTGAATTATTTATAAAATATATATATTTTTTTGTGTGTGTGTGTACGTATTCGTTCTTCTCATCGATATATGAATAAAAGATGAAGCGATGCAGCGAAGTCTTCCTACAGGGTTGTTGTTGAAAGTGAAGTGGAGAGTCTTATTTTTCGATAACAGTGCCGCCGATTTGACAGAAATGACAAATGCTAATCGGTAAAACAGCTGTTTTCAAGATTAAATGACGTATAAAAACATTGGTTATATCAAAATGTGATGCAAAAGAACTGCTTTAAGATACAGTTTTAAAAAGGTTGCCAGCGCAGGTACTGTACAGTACTGTACTGTACGTGACGTTTCATCCGAGAAGTATCGAAATTTCGACTTTCATCAAAGAAATCAGTGTACAAACAACATAACTGCTAGTTCTGTTTGCATAGAACAAAGTCTGTGGTTGTTTCGAATTCGAAAAAATCTCTGTAATCACACAAATGAAGAGGACGTTGAACCTCATTTTCTTACAAATAAATGAAGTAAACGTATAGCAACCGGTTTATAAAATAACTTTAATAGAGTATGAACACGAATTGAATAGGATTGGTTGGGTTCGGTTTGTGAATTATTAAACGGTCGAGTTTTGACCCGGTTGGTTCCACCTGGCCGATTCGTGAACCACCGTACGAGTGAGGCGCCACCTAAGAAGTGGAGGTAAAGAGGCCCTTCAGAAGATACGGAGGGTAACGTGCCAAAGAGATATACTTCAATATAAATGTGCTTATTAAGTCCAAGTTAATACTAGAGAAAGAAAAGAAAATACTCCAAGGATCACTCCTGAGGATACACGAGAAACTGAAGTTAGATTCTATCAGTAGATCCCGAAGAAGTATTTATCTGATATGATAACAAGGATATATTTATTCTCAGTATATTTATAGTATAATTGAGAAGGAAAACTCGACACGTCGTGATGATATAAACTAACTTTTTGGGTAGCTACCATTTACAAGAAAGTATAAAAAGATATATAAATTTATCCTGCGGATAAATCTGCAGGATAAATTCTCTACAAGTGCTTCCAGGAAAAGGAATTAGAATCAAATTACTCTAATCATCAACACGGCAATAAAATTTGAAAGAAGATTAAGCACTGAATCGTCAGTCATGTTTCATTTTTTATGATACAGCACCAGAAAACAATGTGATTAACATTTGCTCCTCATTCTGCTTACCGAGAAAACAGTTGCAAGTGGAAAAACAGCTGCAAATGTTGACATTTTAAACATTAATATTCACTAAACAACTAACTTTTAGTATGAGTATATTTTAATTTTAGAAAAACATATATAAAATTGTGTCGAAAATTAAGTCACTTTTTAAATTTTACGAAGATAAGTGGGATACGACACCACAATCTGGTACAGTTTTTTTAGGAAAACAAAATTGTCCCACGATGCGTAAACGATCGACACGAAGACGTGAATTTTTTTTAATATGATGATTTAATAGAAAGATTTTTCGTTAGGACACGCTTGAAGCTGAATAGGATGAGACCGTTCTAACCTCGTTCTCTAAACATTTCCTGTCATTTTACACAAATAACAGGAAAAAGATACATTGTCTCAGAACAATGCTCTTCGTCCTATCACGTGAACTGTTTCACAAAATGATGCTTATTCGATCACGTGAACGATCTTCACCCGTGCCTAAATTCAAGCAACGTACCTTTTATTCATCTAAAACAGTATGTGTGTGGCCGGTTTTCCTATTTTAAATTTGAATTTAAACGAGGTGCACGCCTACTCTTTCGTAATCTCCAATAAGAACCAGTCCGAAGAGAGATAATCGTTTTTTTCAATTTTAAATTTGAATTTAAAATAGGCCACGCCCATTTTTGAATAATGGAAAAAGCCACATCTTATTATAGAATAGTTTTGTTTATTTATTTATTATTATTATATTTTTTATTTTGAATTTTTTCATAACTTAACCACGCCCGTTTTCCCGAATATCAGTTCCAGCATCGAGGTATCGATTGTCGTAATTGGTACGGTTAGTTAACCGTAAACAATGAGTAACGTCCTGTTTATGTTAAATAGAGTAAAGTATACACACGAGTTACTATAAAATTACTTTTTTTTGCCGCTAAGTCCGGCATTTAACTTCTAATTTAAAAGCAACAACGTGATTGGATCAATTCGAATCTTGACTCCAGTTCTGACCAATGATGTGATCAGTTTAAAGTTAATCTGGTTATAAATCGTGTTTTCTGTCCGTAATAATAACTACATATCGTAAAAGAAGTGGCATTTACGGGTGTAATCTTTATTTATTTGTAAATTATGATGATATAATATATATCTATATATTTTATTTAAGTATTCAAAATACCGAATAAATACGATGCGACGTGTATTATTTTTGAATTTCATACGACAATGCGCCACA